GTGTGGTGACAGAGGGTCACCATGTCACCGTGTCCCTTGCTGAGAGCGGAGCAACCCCGGGTGGGCAGGAGCTCCTGAGGGCACGTGGTGGGGGAGATGCATGTGTGGCAGGGGCGATGCCTGACCCCACACATGGCCAGCCCCTGTGTCCCTCGGTGTCCCTGATGTCACCTGGCCCTTCCCAAAGCATCCCTCTGACTGATCCTCTCCAACAGCCCCCACTGCTGCAAGGATGGAGCGCGGGGGGACGGACACACACGACACCAAAAAAGCCCAGGGACAGCAAGGTCAGAACAGCAGGAACAGCAGGAACAGCACAAGCTCATTGGGGCTTCCCAGAGAAAATGCCACCTTCTTGGGGACACTGACAACTTCCAAGAGACATAGCCAAGTGCCCAGCGACATTCCTGGGCTCATCATCACTCTCCTCAGGACAGTTTCACTTTTCCAGGGACATCACCACCTTCCTGAGAACACGGCCTCCCCCACAGGGGTGTTGCCACCTTCCTGGGGACACTGTCATCTGCCTGGGGACATTGCCACCTTCCTGGGGCCAGCACAACCTCTCTGTGGTCAGTTCTGCCCTGCCAGTGATACAGTCACCTTCCTGGAGACATCCCCACCTTCCTGAGGATGCTGCCACCTTACCAGTGACCAGTCCACCTTTCCAGGGACCTTTCCCACCTTTATGGGAATACCACCACCTTTCTGAGGATGCTGCCACCCTCCTGAGGGCATTGTCACTTTCCAGGGCACAGTTCTGCCTTTCCGGGGCCAGTTCCAGATTTCCAGGGACATCGTCACCCTCCTGGGGGACACTGCCACATTCCTGCGGACATCACCTCCTGCCAGGGCACAGTCCTGCCTTGCCAGGGACACTGCCACCCTCCGAGGGAAGGGGACACCCTGCCACCCTCCCCAGAGCCTCCCCACTGCCCCCGTGTGCCCCCGCCGGGGTTACCTGTGAGCGCGCCGTCCCCGGGGCCCGCGGCGTCCAGGCGGGGCGGCTCCGGGGGTTGGGGGGCGCCGGGGGCGGCCGGGGGGGGCTGCGGCGGCGGGGGCAGCGCGGGGCGCGGCCGCGGCTTGGGGGTCGGGCGGGCCCGGGGGGCGGCGGCGGCGGCGGCGGGGGACGGCAGGAGAGGGGGCGGCGGC